TATGTATTGTTTACTGTTTGTCTTTTTGTTGTTCGAGTTTTTGATTATGATTTTGCAGATAGAAGTTAATTATATATTATATATAATAATATATATATATATATATATATAAACATAAAGATAAAGATAAAAACTAATTCAAACTGTTAGTGAAAACTGATGTCAATGATACTTAAGTAACACTGTTCCAGACAAAAGCCTTCAGATGAATGTTGTGTTTTCTCTCACTCTCACTCAGCTCTGCGTGGATCCTGGACTCTGTTTAGGTTCTCGGCTCTGATCTCTCATCCATAGCATGTTCTCTCTCTCTCACCCTTTCCAGCCATGTACCATCAGCTCCAGATCCTTTCGCTCAGCTTCAGTCCTTCCCCTCACATTGTTCTGGAGAAAATTCATGAGGCCTATCCCAGCAAACACCTTTCCAGGAGCTTTCCTCGAACCCCAACCGCCAGCTCATCCTCTCTTATCGCTCTGGTTTATTTTGAGAGATTATTGGTTCGCTATTGATGGAGGTTTTCTCTGCTCAGCCATATGTTCTTGTTCCAAGATTGATGGAGCTGCAAGAGAAACCCTGTAAACCATCTGAAGTTTCTTTTTAGCGCAGCCATTTTCCACAGATGCTTTGGTCCTCTGCGCAGTGTGAAAACCATCTCTGGGATGGAACAAACTCATGTTATATAATGCTGCGGTGCTTGAAATCCATCTATTTTGGCTGTCAGATTTAAGAGCATCTGTCTCTTTCAACACTCAATTAACCGTAATGGCTGTTCAGATGAAATATTCAAATCAGCACAGTATTTATTTCAGCAGTTTAGGATATCATTACAGTCTGTTAAACAAATTGTATGGTTTGCATCTTGCATGCTTTCCGTGACCCTGTCAGAACGGACCTGAGACCTATATTTTGGGCCTGCGGTGAAAGGCTCTGCTGTATGTGATAAGGCTGAGAAATAATGTTCCAGCAGGAAACGCTGTGGGTGTCAGATTACTTTTCACTCGGTAGATAAACTTATAAATGCTCATGCATAACAAACACATCCTCTCTGCATCATAATGATGTGTTTGAGATTCACTAACAATAAGCCTAATAAAAACATAGTAAACAAATGAAATGGAGTGAAATGAATGACTCTAAAAATACAATGTCATCAGTTAAAATGTAATAACATCATTACACACACACACACACACACACACACACA